CCCTGCCCAGGACTCTGAGTTCTGGATTGTTGCTGCCACCTTGTGGTAGGCACCGGGAACTGCAGCGGGACGTGGCGGTGGAACCGCTCGGAGGGCGTCCTTCTGTGTGAAGACCACCATCAGGAAGACAGTGGGATGGACAGGAATGGAAATCGTGATTCGGGAGTGCTGGCCGCCCCTGACATTGGCTTGTGCTGGTCCTTGACCCTGAGTCTCCGAGAAGCGCCTGTGGAGGCCAGGCTCTTAGCCCTCTGTTGTCCCTTGGTTGGTTCAGGATGGCCCCCGAGGTGGTGATGTGTGAGACCATGAAGGACACTCCCTATGACTACAAAGCTGACATCTGGTCCCTGGGCATCACTCTGATTGAGATGGCCCAGATCGAGCCCCCGCACCACGAGCTCAATCCCATGCGGGTCCTGCTCAAGATCGCCAAGTCGGACCCCCCCACGCTGCTCACACCTTCCAAGTGGTAAGGAGCAAGGGTTGCCGGAGGGACAGCGGCCGAGACGCGGGGCAGGTGGGATTGGGGGAGGCAGGCGGAGGCCTGGGATCCCTGGTGACTCAGAGAAACCGGGTCCTACTGTGGGAATAAGCCCAGGCGAGCCCAGCAGCCACCAGGCACCACCTTCGGCTGGGATTTGGGGCCCGGCCTGGAACCCGAGCACTGCTGTATTTTGCTCTGTGGCCTGCGGCAGGTCCCTGCGCCTCTGATTTCCGGTCCCCACATCTGTATGTGATGCCTGTGATGAGAAGGCCATCTTGAAGGCCCTGCCGCCTCTGCCTTTCAGCTCCTGAAGGGCCCTTTGTCGTTTGATGGGCGTGATCTTGATGGGCGTGATCGGGAAGCGCAGCGCTCCGGGAGAGGGGAGCCCCCGCCGCCCGGATCTCTGGGCCCTCGCCCCGCTCTGCACTGACCGCTGCCACCTGTCCTCCCAGGTCTGTGGAGTTCCGAGACTTCCTGAAGACGGCGCTGGATAAGAACCCGGAGACCCGGCCCAGTGCTGCGCAGCTCCTGGAGGTGAGTGGGTGCCTCTCGCCGGGCTGCCTGGCCGCTGCTCTGTCCTTCCTCTGGTGGCGGACAACAGGTGAGCACAGCCGTGACCTGGAAGCTGTGCGTTCCTCACCCGGCCCAGGCCACAGCGTGCACAACCCCGCTCACCAGCCCACGTTCCCTGGGCGCCTCCTGGATGCCGGCTCCTGCTGGGGGGGGGCTGCCATGCAGGAAGCCCTGGAGCCCGGCCCTCACAGGCGGCTGAGCAGATACGCGTGCGCGTGGGGGGGGGCTTTGGAGAAAAGAGCGCAGGCGGGTGGCGGCCGGGAGGGGTTGCTCTCCTGTAAGGGAGCACAGAGGGCTTTCTGTGTGAGCAGACACCCAGGGGAGGCGAGGCAGCCAGGCCAGAGGGAGGCCAAGGTCTGGGACGTGAGCACGAGTGGCCCGGGCATGGGAGCCGGGGTGAGGGCAGGGGGATTGGAGGGGGGTCGGAGTGGTGCGGCGTGTCCACCCCCAGAGTAGATGGTTCCCAAAGAGGACACGCAGGACTCAGCGTATCGTGCTCGCCGCCGAGAAAAAGGCACCAGGGAGAAGCCCGGCTCAGGCTTTCAGAGTCTCACGGATGCACTCAGCTCCCCCAGAGATGAGCTGGGACACGTCTGAAATGTCCACCCCCTGGGTGTGCAGCACTGTGACCAAGTGTGTGGACTGGGGTGGGAAAGTCCTGGGTTCACACCCCAGCTCTGCCACTTACTGGCTGTGAGACCCTGGGCGGGTGGCTTAACCTCTCCGACTTGGTTCTCGCCCTGAAACGGGGGTTATAGCAAAGTCCTCTTTACAGAGCGGCTGTGAGATTAAGCGAGAAGACCCTAGAAACAGCTTAGCTTAACTGTGAAGCACTGTGCTCAGTGAGCGCTTGATGCGTTGAATGGAATTATTTAAAAAAAGGAAAGACAACGAGGGTCTGTGTCTAGGGGGGTCACAATTGTTCCTTGTAGATTTCTGCGGTGCATTTGGTTGGAAGCAACTGTCTGGGCGACCCAAGGCCTCATTTTCCAGATACTTCGGTGTTTGGTGGGTCAGCAAGAGGTGGGGGTGGGGTGGGCCTGCTGTCACTGTCAGACCAGAAGCTCCGGGCTGCTGAAGCCCAATTGTTTCCTGTAAGCAGGCACCTCCTGGCCCGTTACATCCGGCCTCCAGGACATTCCACCGGGAAGAGACAGCTGTCCTCTGTCCCCACATGGCAGCCCCAGAGCCCTGACCTGAACCAGGAATTTCCGTTCCATAGTTGGAAAAGTGTCCTGCCAGAGGACTCCAGTGTGAGACAGAAAGGGTCGCAGAGGAAAGGGGCCTTCCTTCGAGACAGTAAGACGCTGTTGGGAGCTTAGGCCGCCATGGTCTTTTCGGGAGCGCCTCTCGTCTCTGGGAGGGAGGGGGGAGCAGTTCCCCACCCCCTGGGTGAGGACCCCGAGGTTTAGAGCAGGCTTGCTGATGTCACCTGGCTTGGAGAGACAGAAGTAGCTCCAGATCTTGGCTTCCTGGCACCCCCTGCAGAGCTGGGCATGCCCCTACCTCAGCCCCGTTTCTGCCTGCTTCTGGAAGGTTCCTCCCAGCCCCTCATTGTTCCCCACATTCTGCCTCAAGCCGACACACTTTGCCCTCTTTGGTTTGTGGCTCATTCACTGACTTGCGCAGATCCTCCTCGATGTCATGTCACGCGTGGTAACCCAGGCTCTGCAGCAGGCTTGCCTGCCCTGAATCCTGCTCTGTGCCTCAGTTTCCTTGTCTGTGGGGTGTGGACAGTGCTCATGTCACAGAATTGTGAGTGAAGGGGATTCTGGAGACACCGTGTTAGCACAGCGGCTGCCACACACCAGGTGCTCAGCCTACACTTGCTGGATTTGTTCTTAAACCCACCCACTCTGTCAGTGTCCTTGTCAAGGTCACCAGCGCCTTCCATGGTCAGCTCAGGCCTCAGTGCTCTTGTCACTGGGCCCAGCAGCATCAGCCTACGCGGTTGACTCTGGTCCTGCTCACTGTCAGCACTTGACCTCCAAGTCCCCACATCGTCTCGGTTCCCTTCCTTCTCGCTGGTCACACCTCAGTCCCCTCCACCTGCTCCTCTTGTTTGCTCTGATCTGTCTGCACTCACCTGGACGACCTCGTGACATGCAGTGACTCCCACGGCAGCCAGAGGGAGGCTTCCAAACCCAAGTCAGCTCCTGCCCCTCCCTGGTCCAAAGCCCCTTAGTGGCTCCCATCCCGCTCAGAGGAAAGTCTGTAAACTGCGACCTGCAAGGTGCTGTGTGATCTGCCCACCCCACCTTGACCCCTTAGACCTGCTCTCTACCTCTTGCCCCCTCACTCTGCACCAGCCACCCTGGCCTCCTTGCTGTTCTTCAGACACATGGGACATACCCTGCCTCAGGGCCTTTGCACTGGCTCTCCGCGCTGCCTGCAGTGCTCTTCCCCCAGACACCTCACGGCTGACTCCCTCTCTTGATCAGTCATTGTGCAAATGTCAGCTTCTCGGTGAGGCCTCCCCCAGCCACCGATTTAAAACGGCAGACTTGCTGTTCCCCCTACCTCCCACTTCTTAAGTCTCCTTTCCCTGCCCTACTTTGAATTTTTCCATGGCATGTAGCATGTAGCATGGTGGGTGGTATGTAACTTACTAGTTTATGAAGTTTATTCTTGATTGCTCTGACTAGCTTGTCAGCTCCCAAGCATCCAGACAGTTCCTGGATGGAGAGGGGGCCTCAGTAGTATTTGTTTAACACACTAACAGTGGTACCTCGGTTTTCGAACATCTCTGTTGACGAACATTTCGGGTTACAAACGCCATAAACCCAGAAGGAAATGCTTCGGTTTTCGAACATGCCTCGGAAGTTGAACATGCCACGCGGTTTCCGCTGAGGGCGAGATCCTGAGGCCCAGCTGTTGGCTGTGGATCCCTCGGTTTTCCAATGTTTCAGAACTCGAACCGTCTCCCGGAACAGATTGCATTAGAAAACCGAGGGACCACTGTACTTATTTTTACTTACGCTGTTAGGCAACCCTTTTTCCATGCCGGGTGCTCTTCTAAATGTTTAATGTTAACTAATTTAACCGTCATAACAGTCCTATGAGGTAGGCACTGTTCAGATCTCCATGAAACATATGACTGAAGCACAGAGAAGTTGGGTAGCCTTCCCAAGGTCACACAGCTTGCAAGTGACAGAGCTGGGATTCTGATCCTGGTCGTCTGGTTCCAAGCCTGACACTCTGAGAAGCTGCCTCCAAATGAAGGAAGGAGAGAAAGAAGAAATGAAAGAGAGGGAGAGAGGAGCGAGGTTAGCAGGGCGGAGGGAGGACTGAAGGGAAGATGCTGACCCCGGGAAGCTGGACCCCTGGAGGTATTTTCTAAAGCTAGTGTTGGCGTGTTGGACTCCCTGGCTGGTGGCTTCTGAGCACACAGAGGAAACAGGCTCAAGTCCTTGGAAGGGATGTCTGTGGAGATGGCCGGAGAGGTCCTGCCCGGAGGGTGGGTGCCAGCTGGTGAGCTGCGTGGCATCTTGGGGCTCCCTGCAGAGATGGCACGGAGCAGCTGCTCTTCTTCCTGAAGGAGCAGGCGCCTGGGTTCCCCTCGGAACCGGGCCTTCTGTGGGGGTGCCAAGCACTTTCCGGGGACCCATGTGGCCAGATCAGTCTGTCCTGATGCAGGTGCAAAATGTGTCTGCCGCCTGGGCAGTGCCCCACCTGCAGGGCTCTGTCTCTCTAACAGGCCTTGGCAGTTTGGGGTTTGGGGAAATGCCTCTTCTAAACACACCCCTGGAGGTGGTAGAGCAGATGGGGAGGGGGAGGTGGCCTGTGCTTTGTGTCCTGGATCTTTGACAAAACAGTGTCCTGGGCCTAAGACGGCCCACCCCTCCCAGCCTGCGCCACCTGCCTGCCGGCCCGGCTTGCCCGGGATTCCAGGAGCTCACCTGCCCTCCATCAAAGGCTTTCCTCCCCACGCGTCCCCTCTGCTTCCTGAGGACCCTGGGGTCAGGGGAGGCAGCGGAGCAGATGGGCCCTCCTCGGGAAGTCGAGGCTTCTGGCTGTGCTGAGCGCCACTCATTTGGTCAACATGTGGTGCCCTGATGAAAACCTGGTATTTCCAGAAGTCTGTGCCTGCAGAGTTTATTTCTGCTACATCTGCGTTGGTCACTGCAGAGCAGTGTCTCGTGGCTTCTTGCTCCAGTTCACATGTCTGAGGTTGTGTAATGTGAGGCTTGGGAACCTTTGGGAGCTGGTTCTCACCCTGTTCCAAAAAGCTACGCCCTGTGGGGAGGGGACAGGAATGCTGGGGAGTACAAACTGGTGACTTAAGGGCTTCTCTGTGATGGTGCCGCTGTCCCTGCTCCGGCTGGTGGTGGTGACGATGATGGAAGTGATGCAGGTGATGGTGACGGTGACGATGGTAGTGATGGGGGTGATGGTGACGGTGACGATGGTAGTGATGGGGGTGATGGTGACGATGATGGAAGTGATGGAGGTGATGGTGACGGTGACGATGGTAGTGATGGGGGTGATGGTGACGGTGACGATGGTAGTGATGGGGGTGACGGTGACGATGATGGAAGTGATGGAGGTGATGGTGACGGTGACGATGGTAGTGATGGGGGTGATGGTAACAATGGTAGTGATGGGGGTGATGGTGACAGTGACGATGGTAGTGATGGGGGTGATGGTGAGTGACGATGGTAGTGATGGGGGTGATGGTGACAGTGACGATGGTAGTGATGGAGGTGACGGTGACAATGGTAGTGGTGGAGGTGATGGTGACGATGGTAGTGGTGGAGGTGACGGTGACAGTGATGATGGTGATGATGACGACCGCTCTCATAGTTAGAGCACTTACTATAATGCTCAGAGCAACCATACTCTTATTCCCACTGTACAGGTGAGCAAACTGAGGCTCAGAGAGGTGAGTAACTTGCCCGAGTTGGTGGTGGAAGCGGGATTTTATCCCAGGCAGTCTGGCTCTTAACTGCTGTTCCCCCCGGCCTCCCATGATTAGTAAACCCTTATTAACGGTTCCTTTCAAGAACCGCTCAGCAGCCACACTGACACCTTTAAATGACACTTTTAATATCACGTTACCTGACATCTTTAATATCACTGCTCTGCTGCAGCCCTCCAGTGGCTTCTGAGAATTAAAGTCTCAGCTTCTCACCAAGGCCAAGGGGCCCTGCTCTCTAGGCGGGCCTCCAGCACGCCAAGCTCAGTCCTGTCTCAGGACCTTTGCACTGCTGTTCCCTCTGCCCAGATCTCTCCCTGGCTGGCCCCTTCACATCCCTCGGGTCTCAGCTCAAATGTCACTTCCTCAAGGAGGCCCTGTGACCACACACCTAAGTTGCCTCCACTGCCCAGGCCAGGCCAGGCGTTCCAGCCTCCTGCTGTCCTGCTACCGGATCTGCAGTGATCCCGTTTGTCATTTGGTTACATTCCTGTCATCTCTCACTCAGCTGCCAGTCTCCGCGGGCCGGGACCTTGCCTGTCTTCTGGTTCACCTTATTTCAGCACCTGGCACATTGCTGCCCACCATGTGGTTGCCAAGTGAACCAATGAACAAATGGGGACATGGGAAAGGAAAAAAAGAAATGAGATTCTTTAAATCTTTACTAGTTTGGAGTAACTAGAGAAAGTCATCTGAGTGACAGGGCTCTTTAAATGGAGTGAGGCCTGTTGCTGTCAGATGGACAAAGGAAGGTGACGGAGTTGAACAGGGTGTTGCCTCGAGGCCACCCCCAAAGGAACTGATTGAGACGATCCAACAGATGAAAATGATTTTAGTGGACCTGTCAGTTGCGGATGTGTCTCCAGGGTGCTGTAAAATTCATTTTCTTTAGTCATTTGCATACTTCCCTGCAATCTTCACGCTGTTCCTCTGCTGACAAATTTTCTGACAGTAAAAACAGCGAATTTTATCAGAGCCTTCCTGTAAGTTTCAATGAGCAAATTCCAGTAACGACAGCCCCCACCCCAGCACTCCTTCTTCGCCGCCCTGGTGAGCGGTGACCTGAGAAGTCGCCAGCCCCGCCCACCCCCGTGCTGGGGGAGGGTCCCCAAGGACAGACTTCCACCTGGGACGCGTCCATGCTGACTTGCCATCTGCCGAGGCCCTAGCAGCTTTGGCGTTTTGCAAGGCCCGTGAAGGACGTGACATTTCTGAAAGCGCCTCGGAGGGGCGCGCACACTACGCCGCCTCACGCCTTTGCACACACACGCGTCCACCGGAGACATGTACGAGCGTGTTCTCGGCAGCTTTAGTCACAGTCACCCAGAACAGGAAACGGCACACGTGCCCGTCTGCAGCGGAGGGGACGGACAGGCTGACCTTCAGGCAGGAAACGCTGCGCAGGGGTAGGAAAGGGTCCCCTTCGGCCGCAGGGGACACGCTGTGCGGCGCTGCCCCCGCGAAGCTCCAGGGCGGAGCCGGCGGCCTCGCCTCCGAGCCGGGCAGCCGGGCTGGGGCTGACTGCTGGGGACGGGGACCTTTTCCGGGGCACGGGAGGGCTCTGTCGTGAGTGCTGGGTCTTACACATATGAAAAACACGGGAGAGGTCCCTGAGCTTAATGACTTGCGAACTTCGTGTCTCCTTAAAGGAGAGCGTGCAAGATGCAGACAAGCTGCCCCCAGCTGCTTTCGCTCCTGCTCCGGGCTGAGCACCTCTGCGGGCATTGTCGTTTTTTTTATTTTTTAAATCTATCTTTATTGATTTCAGAGAGAGGAAGGGGGAGAGAGAGAGAAGAGATAGAAGCATCAAGGAGAGAGAGTCATTGATCGGCTGCCTCCTGCACGCCCCCCGCTGGGGATCGAGCCCGCAACCTGGGCATGTGCCCTGACCTCCTAGGGCGACGCTCAACCGCTGAGCCACGCCGGCCACCCGGGCATTATCTTTTTAATCGTCACAACCTCCCTGTGGGTTTGGCATCATTGTCTCTACTTTGGAGGTGAGGCGCCTGCAACTCAGAGAGGGAAAGTGACACGCTCGGTGTCACACAGCTGGCGAGTGGCAGAAAGTTCTGTCACACACAGGGCTTTCTGAGCTGCCTCTGGGTCTCCCCTACCAAGTCCATGCCACCCCAGCCTTTGCCTGCCCCCCTCCCCCCCAGCCCGAAGTGGCTGTAACCCAGGTGTCTTGTCCCCCTCAGCATCCCTTCGTCAGCAGCGTCACCAGTAACAAGGCCCTGCGGGAGCTGGTGGCTGAGGCCAAGGCCGAGGTGATGGAGGAGATTGAAGACGGCCGGGATGAGGGGGAAGAGGAGGACTCCGTGGACGCCGCCTCTGTAAGGCCCGTAAGAATGGGTGCTGGGGAGGGACGGGACCCCTGCGGGCCTTGGCTCCTGTGGGGGCAGGACAGCAGGAAGGATTTCTTTCTGTGTCACCCCCAGCTTAGAGGTCACAGGCTCCCATGCCACGGGTTATGTAAGATGGCACACGGGCCAGGGCGTGTTGGCTGGATCCTGTAAGTTTTCAGGGAACCAGGAACCTAGATTTTCACATGAGATCTTCCAGATTTTAAAAGCTGGTAGCTGGCTCTTTGCTCCCCAGCCTTTCGCGTTCGGAGCGCCCTGTGGGATGAATGCAGGTGAGGAGCAGGGAGGGGCGCCGGCGCCCCAGACTCCGCCCGGCTGCTGAGTGCCCAGGGGAACGCGCATCCGTAACCCATCTGCAGCTTCAGCACTTGGCTGAGTTTAAATTTAAGTGAAAGCTAATTTTTAAACATTTAAAACCATTTGAGCCAAGTGAAATATGTCTGTGGGCTGGATCCTGTCTGCGCTGCTGCTTTTGGATTGCTGGTCTCGTTGGCTGGGAAGGGCCTCTCCCGGGTGGGGACATTTGCTGTCCAGATGGTGCCGTGGACCTAGTGGGGCAGGGGCTGGGTGTTGGTGTGGGATGACAGGATCAGAACTGAGTGTATGAACCTTCACTCTGGGTGTTGAATAGAAGGTGGATTAGTTATTTCTGGAAGCTTCCATATCCAAGGTCAAAAACCAGCGGCTGTCAGGACCCAAGGGAATGCTTACAGTGTGAGTCCATCAATATCAAGTTTTAAAACAGGCAAACTAGCCGATAGCACTTAGAGATCATTGGGACGATGATTGTGTCAAGCGGAGGGATGGACACAGGCAGGCTTCTCTGGGGCAGGGCACTGGTCCACTCCTGGCCTGGAGAGGCTATGTGGGTGCTCACTTTATTCATTAGGCTCGACATTTAGGTTTTATCCAGATAAATGGGTGCTCTGTTTCATTATAGCAACATTTCCAATACTTTCCAACCCCCCAAAAGCTCTAAAAACAAAACTTTAAATAGTGGCTGGTAGGAGGATTCTAGCCTCTGAATAAGTTTATTTTGGGTTTTATGCAACTTTTAAAAAAACTTCAATTAGTTGCCATCTAAAAATCAGGAGGTGTCACGTAAAAATCCAGATTCTAGCTTGTCTTGAAAAATTCGGAAGGTCTGGCCATAGGGGACGCATTTTCCCACACTGTCACAATTGGCTGGAGCCAAGTAGCCACTGCCCCTTTCAGACATGCAGGAGCTGTCCAGCTGGCCACAGTGGCCTGCATTCCCAGGAATAACAGGCATTAAACTAAGCTGAGATGAAAGACAGTCCAGAGACTTCTATTCCTCGAACAAGTAGCAGTTTTATTGCTGGTTAGGCAATAGGGAGTGGTGAGGACTGTGGCTTGCTGGAGAGAGATGCCTGCTCTCCTTCCCTGGCCCCAGCCCAGTGCAGCCTGTTGGCATCTGATTTTTCAGCCCCACTGTGGCTTGCTGGAGAGAGATGCCTGCTCTACTTCCCTACCCCCTGCCCCCTGCAGCTTGGTGTCTGATGTTTCAGCCCCACTGCATCTGGCAGCTACCTCGCACAAATAGCGGCACGGCCTTGACCACCTTTCCTTTTCCTCTAGCCTCTGGGAAACCACACTCCCGACTCTTCTGAGGCGAGTCAGGTGAGCCTTGATGCCGACAAGCTTCTCAAGGAACCATCTGTCACTGCAGTGCCACCCAGCCCGCCTCAGGACAGTGAGGATGAGCCCAGCCAGCCATCTGGGGAAAGATCTCTCCAAACCACCGGCCCTCCAGGTGTGGCCCCTGGAGGTGAGAATGGCCTGGCTGTGCCTGTGCCTCTCCGGAAGTCCCGGCCCGTGTCAATGGGTGCCAGAATTCAGGTATCTGAGGAGAAGCAAGCCGCTGACCAGGCTGGGGACCTCAGTCCAGCAGCCAAGCGGTCCCAAAAGACAAGTCAGAGCCGTCCCATCAGCAGCGCCCTGGAGACCTTGGGCGGTGAGAAGCTGGCCAACGGCAGCCTGGAGCTCCCTGCCCCAGCATCCCCTCGCCCTTCCAAGAGGGACTCGGACTGTGTCAGCCTGTCCACCTCTGAGAGCATGGACTACAGCACCTCCCTGTCCGCCGACCTGTCCCTGAACAGAGAGACGGGCTCTCTGTCCCTCCAGGTAACGCCCCGTCTTGCGCACAGGCTGGGAGCAGCATGTTTCTCTGCTCGGTTTGGGTTTTTGCAAGTGGTAGATGGCTGCCTTTCGTTTCTGATTGGCTCACAGGATTGCTCTTTCTTTAAAGGGCTTTTAGTTCAACTCAGTTTAATCTTCCAAATACCTGAGTTTACCTGGGACTTAGTCATATCAAACAGTCTGTTTGGGTTTCATTTTCAGTTTGGGGTTCCATTTAAATTGGGTTTGGTTAAAGGCCCTGGTGAAATTTGGGAGAGAGGATTATACAAGTGGAAATTGTCTTATTTGAAGGTCAGCTGTGTGGCCTAGCTGGTGACTGATGGAATCAATTAAAGGGAGTGGGCTCAAGGTATCTCCTGGCTCAGTGGCCTTTCTAGAAGAAGGGGATGTTGTGAATGACACTAGCCTCTGTGACTGAGGGCCTGGCACTGCAAAGTGCTTTAAAAAGGAAAGAAGCAGGAGGCCCTTTCATCAAGGTGCAGATGAGCAAATGGAGGCTTAGGTGGGAAGGGGGGCACTGGTCAGACCCCACACTCTGGCTGTGAGCCCCGCGTGCCATTCTGCCTTCCCGGTTGGGGCCCTGGCCGCCTCCTCAGGTGTCTGGAGGGGGCTTACCCCGTCCCTGGACTGCTCTGACAAATCTCGGGATGTTCTTGCCATCACCATTGGTCATTTATTTGGGCCACACTGAGGGTCCCACCCCCAACCAAGGCGAAGTTTAGGGAAGTTACTGTATCTTTCTGGTGTTTCTTGTCATCATTTACTTGGTGAAAAACACACAGTAGGAACTCAAAAATACTTGCTAACTGGAAGGGACAGCAGCAGCTGGTTAGCACATTAGCCTTGGGGACAGGAAGAAAGTGCAGCTTTAACAGGCCACTGGGACAAGTACAGATAGCAACTTTTATGTACAATTAGCCTCGGCGCCCATCCTGGGACAGGCATCTTGTCTGTTCTCATCTTAAAAAGACACCAAAAGAGTGAAAAAAAAAAGGTAATAAAAGAAAAAATCCAATCTACCAAGAGCAGGGTGTCCCCGCCTCCTCTCAAGGGTGCCGAGAACATTGCTGCTGCTGGCTGGCTGGCAGGGAGTCAGGGGCACTGCTGTTCCAATAAGAGTCCGCTGGTTGCCTCAGCACCCCGGGCACGACTTACCTCCGAGACGGGCGGCCCTGTGACCATCTGGACTTGAGGCCTAGGGCACACAAGCTGGACACTGTAGGGAGATGAGTCGGGTGTCCCTGTTCAGGGCCGATGGTGTTGAGCCCCTGGGTCCCGCCTGAGCAGGACGTGGGGGTCAGAGCAGACTTTGAGGGCACAGGGACTTACT